GTGCTTGTGCAGGTCATTCAAAGTATCCGTTGCCATAATAGCTTTTATTTCCACATCTACAAATAAATATATATAGTGATATTAATGTAACAGTTTATACCATACTGCATTTAAGGCGTGCTGTAGATATTAGAAGGAGGGGAGTAACTGCCACTTCCAGTACCACCTCCGATACCACCCCCAATACCACCTCCGATGCCCTCCAATACCACCCCCTCCAATACCACCTCCGATGCCACCTCCCAATACCACGATGCCACCTCCAATACCACCTACGATGCCACCTCCAATACCACCTCCGATTCCTCCTCCAATTCCGCCACCGATGCCACCTCCGATTCCACCTCCGATACCACCGCCGAAACCGCCGCCAACTCCACCACCTCCAACAACTTGACCGCCGCCCTGGGAAGCTGAACTCAGCGCCGTCTGGAGGTCTACTCCGCTGGGAAGAGTCGGGTTCTCTCCTTCTGCGTAGTTCACGAAGAACACTTCGGGGTTGGATGGCGGTGGTGCTGGAACCTCGATCACTCGCTGGTCATGTTCAGACTGCTTGTTCAGAACATACACTACGTGTTGCTGTTGTGGTGGTGGCACGACGATGGGTTCTGGTCCATCTGCACCTTCAGGCAGTCTTACAAAAATGATATTGCGTTCCAATTTAGGCTCTGGAATGTAGTCTGGCCGATTGACGACACCTTCGTTTGCTGGCACATCGTACAGGAACACACGGCTGTTCACCTGCGGCGTAACGCAGCTTCCGTCCACGTGCCGCACTTGTCCATCCCCACAGCTCCCAGACTCAAAGGAAGGTCCCGAGGGCGTGCCCAGGTTGTAACCCTGAGGGGCAGCGGACGCAGTAGCTACGAGTGCCAGGACCTACAAAAAAAAAGTTATGTATCGCTTAGCTGTTACAAATCACTACTTCGTCTATATAGCAAGTTGTGCGAGATCACATTCACATCCACGAAAACACGAGGAACTGGCAGTGAGTTAAGCACCACTCACCAAGAGCTTCATGATGGAAGTCAGTGTCTTGTCCCCTTGCGACTCGGTATTTATTAGCACCAGATTGTCATGCTCCTCCTCCACTCCTCGTAGTGACCATCACAAGGTCTTTCCTTTCTCCTTCGGTGTGTTTATCACAGCCGATGAGTAAATCTAAAAATAAAATGGAAATTGTTTTTTTCAGTAACTGAAGTAATAATTATATATATATATATATATATATATATATATATATATATATATATATATATATATATATATATATATGAATGGAAAAACACACTCTACCGTGTGATACTATGGTATAAAAACCCACAATGCACTAACTAGATTTACCGAAGAAAGTGAGACAACAGTTTCGGAATCGTCCTCGATTCCATCTTCGGATCTGGAAGATGGAATCGAGGACGATTCCGAAACTGTTGTCTCACTTTCTTAAAAAAAAAAAAAAAAAAAAAAAAAAAAAAAAACTATTTTTGTGCATTGTGTTTTTTCTACCATATATATATATATATATATATATATATATATAATATATATATATATATATATATATATATATTCATGTATAACTATACATGTATATACATAAATAGAAAGTGAGAAGGAAATTGTATGTGTTCAAAAATTATTCAAGTCCCTTCACTCCATTATTCTAAAAAGAAAAGAAAAGAAAGAAAAAAACGAGTGTATTTCCCGAGTTTTTATTGAATGTCAGTCTGGCTAGAATGAGACACTGACCTAACAGCTGAACTACTTTGATACAAGTTCATAATGGGAACAGGTTTGATCACTTAAATGTTCTCATGCTCAAAAAAACATTGCCTAGTACTGATGCGCGCTTCTTCATGGTAATAAATATTGTCATTTCTATTTTTCTAACCCATATACCTATAACATCCATGTGTGTTATCCAAGAACATCTATTTTTACTAAATAGATATGATTCATGCCAGCACTGAAGAAAGGGCGTTAAAACTTAAAACTGTTTGTTTTATATACCATCTACCGTCATATAAAGGAGTAACTAAAATGTGATAATTTGGGATGTTTTCTTGTAGTTTTGATTTTTAATGTATAAACTTTAATACCTATATAAAACATATAAGATAAGACAACTATAGATACATAATTCTATTCATTCATTAAATACCATGTAACTGCCCAAAACACCCAGAAAAAACTGTTGTCGTTTTATACATACCTAATAACACGCGTCTTTAGTTTTCTTCACTTCAGCATATTATAAGCAGTAGGTTGTGCGACAATCACAGCAGAGCTGCAAACAACAATTACTCCAGTGCGAATAACGACTTTCACTCCAGAGCAGCTAATGGCAATTATTCCAGGGCTTGCCAAAAGATAATTTCCAGCGTTGGCTATGGGCAGTTACTCCTGAATTGCCAGCAGCAAGTAATCAAGGGCTGATAACGACAATTACTCCAGGGCTTCCAACGACAATTTCTCCAGGGCAAACAACAATCACTCCAGGAGTGACAACGGTAAATACTCTAGAGCTGTCACCGACAATTACTCCAGATCACGCTACCCTGAAAAAGTGCGTTTTATTTGGCAGCTAATAATCCCAATCAATTTTACTGAGAGAAAGAAATCGTTTGCATGTTTCAGGTCTCCATGTCATATCTTAACAAAGCCATGCAATATTCACGATGTTTATTTTATATGAGATAGATTCATGTATATATATTATATATATTATATATATATTATATATATATATATATATATATATATATATATATATATATATATATATATATATTATATATATAATATATATGTATATATATTAATATATATTATATATTATGTATATATATTTAGAATGTTTATCTGCATAGTTTTATGTTATGATTTGTGAATACATTCTATACACATAAGTGTATTTATGTATTACCTTATAATATTTACCTTTCGTAATATCAAAGGGTAAAATCTGGAGAAGTGAAGAATGCGATTATTACCAAGGACAACGTGTATATGTCACAAACAAAAATTAAATGAAAAGTCATGTTTCTTTACTTCTTCAATATCATATATCATTTAATTATTTTCTGGTCGTTATCTTCTGAATATGAAATGCAGGATAATTATGAGATGTTCGCGATTTCATGCTCAGATCTCATTATAATCATTATATTTAATATAATTGTTACCATTATCATTATAATCTTACTTGTTATCATCGTTACTGTCATAATCATATCCGTTTTCTCTTTGCTATTATCATTGTTGACATAATCAAAACTTTTACGGAATGATGAAAGAGTAGCAATCATGATTACCGATTCTCCATGTAGCCATTCATACCTCTACAAGTTAAAATGCATTTACCCATAATTTATGGAAGTAATAGAAACAAGATGTTAAAGTAACTTTTATTTTTCATCAGCAAATAAATACACAAAATTCAAATAAAACTAATAAACATTAGGTCACATAGATCGAAATGATATTGCTTCAGTTTACCTATACATCCTGAGAATATTTGTGGCACCTGAATGGCGTTATGGTGTAGTGTAGAGGTTGGAAGGTGGGAAGTCATTTCCAACTCCGATTCCGCCTCCGCTGCCACCACCGAAACCACCTCCAATTCCGCACCGATAACCGCCTCCAGTGCCGCCTCCAATGCAATCCGCACACTTCCATACCACCTCCGATGCCACCTCCGATGCCACCGCCGAAACCACCTCCGATGCCACCTCCAATACCACCTCCGATGCCACCGCCGAACCCGACCTCCAATGCCCCCCTCCAACAACTTGACCGCCGCCTTGGGAAGCTGAACTCAGCGCCGTCTGGAGGTCTACTCCGCTGGGAAGAGTCGGGTTCTCTCCTTCTGCGTAGTTCACGAAGAACACTTCGGGGTTCGATTGCGGTGGTGCAGGAACCTCGATCACTCGCTGGTCTTGTTCAGACTGCTTTTGTCATGGATCGAGTGACACCACGTGTTGCTGTATGTGCGGCGCGTGTGGTGCGATATCGACTGATGGTTTCTCGTGGCCATCTGGCGCCTTTCAGGTAGTCTTTACAATAGAGTGTATGATATTGGTCCGTATCCATTTTGCGTGGCGTGGAAGTATATGTTCTGGCCGATTGGACACACAGCTTCATTTTGCTGGCACAGTTTTCAATACGAGGAGACGACGGGCTGTTTCACCTGAAGGTGTACGCAGCTTACCGTCCCACGTGCCGCCTTATGTTACCATCGCACACAACTGCACAGAGTCAAAAGAGCTGGCCAGGACTAGTTGGGTAGGTTGTATCCCTGAGGGGCAGCGGTCGCAACAGCCACGAGTGCCAAGACCTATAATAAAAACAATACATATCTTTGGAATTATGAAAATATTATTGGTCCACTGATGCATAGAGCGGGATACCAAAAACCATTCACATTTAATAAATCACTTTTAAGAAATAGATAATTCAATTTAAATATGAGAATGGTAACACTACCCACTAAGAGCTTCATTTGATTGTGGGTTTATGGATATTGTGTTGTTGAGGTGCCTATCCCAACGTCTGTTTTTTGCTGCGGTTGTGTTGATAATAATTTATATATACAATGGTGCACTGCGGTCCAACCTCCTCGACTGTTAGATTGGTTGCCGTTCACGGAGGTTCTTACCTTGCTCGTTGACGGAGTAATGTGTGCTGGATGGTAAGTCAGTTTCGAGCCCAGGCTCAGGAGGAAAAGTGGGATGAAGTCTTCAAATTTATTGGATTGTGGGTTTTTATGTTTTGTTTATGAAGGCTTTATCTGGTTGGTGGATTACTCTTACTATGATTGTCTCATGTGCTTTTTTTGTATTATGGATTAATTGTTTAATTAGCATTATCTTCGTTCTGATAATTTCTTTTTTATTACTCACTACTGCTCATAAATCTATACAAAATTTTGTGTTTATTTTTTATGCATCATTATGTGCGTGTTTTTTTTCTTATCATTTACATCCTAATTTTGTCTGTTATTTACACTATTTTTATTTTGTATGTGTGGATGTGTTTGTTGTTCGTCGTTTTGGTATACTATGTGTAAATATATATGTGGTTATGTGTATTATGCGTATTTCAATTGGTCTTTCTTTTTATTATTATTAAACTTAAACCTCTACACTCAATCTAACATATCTTATTAAACTATTATTGTGTATTGTGTGTGTCTGTTGTCTGGTACATAAAAGTGTTAACTTTTTTGTACCTATATACATATATGCATATACATATTTGTGATTAAATCTTTTTTATTTACATACATAATATTATTACTATCTTATTAAACATACAACACACACACATATACACACAAACACCTACATACCCACACATACAACACACACATGTGTAGTCTGCACTGCCTCTTAATTTCGTCCCCTCGTTACTCTGATCCTCGAAATCTCGTTTATTCTAAGTATCGTTGTTTTTGGTAAACGATATGAGGGAACAGGGTTGGTATGTTATGTTGGAATTCTAGGTCATTGTGTGTAGTATTATAGTCTATTTATGTTATATGTTAATAATTATGAGTTTTGGTGATTTAGAGTAGTGGTGTTGTGTGTTGTGTGTGTGTGTGTGTGTGTGTATGTGTGTAGTAGTATATATATTATATGTAATGTGATGTGTAGTGTGTATTGTTAGTGTGTGTGTGTTGATGATGTAGTAGTGTGTTTAGTGATGTCGTGTTACATACATATTATATATATGTATATATATATACATATATATATACTTACATCAGCACACACACACACACCACACACCACACCACACCACACACACACACACACACTACGACACAGCATCAGCGATCGGGCACACACACACACACAACATATTATATATATATATAATATAGATAATAGATAGATAGATTATAGTGTTGTGATGAGTATTAGATTTGTGTTATTGTTGTGTTTGGTTTTATTGAGTAGAGTATCTATTACTATTGCTATGAGTGTTAAAGCGAGTTATATAGTGATGTGTGATTGTTGGGTGGGTGTGTGTGTGGTGGTGTGTGTTATAATATTATAGTAGAGTGATTGTGTGTGTAGTGTGTGTTGTATGTGTATAATATGTAGGGTGGAGTGTATGTGTGAGTGGTTTGTTATTTGTGGGTTGGTTGATGTATGTGTGTAGTATGATAGTATAGTATTGATTTTATTTATGTATGTATGTATGTATGTATGGGTGATTTGAGTGATGTGTGTGTGTTTTGTGTGTGTGTGTGGTTGGTGTGGTGTGTGTGTGTTGGGTTGTGTGTTGTTGTGTGTGTGTGTGTGTGTGGGATGTTTTGGTTGTGTTGGTTGTGTGTGGGTGTGGTGTGTGTGGAGTGTGTGTGTGTGTTGTTTGTGGGTGTGTGTGTTGGTGTGGTGTGGGTGGTGGTGTGTGTGTGTGGGGTGTGTGGTGTTGTGTGGGTGTGGTGGGTGGTGTATATATGTGGTGTGTATGTATTATATTTATATATTTATATACATATATATATATATCTATATATATATATAATATATGTTATAAGTGGATAGTAGTGAGTGTGTGTTTGTATATGTTAGTGTGTATGTTATGTATACTGGTAGGTATATTGTATGTGATTTTATATTGTTGATAGTGTAATGTGTCTATACATGTGTTACATTCATCTATTATGATGTGTAAAAAATAGAGTGTGATATTGTCATACATAGTTTGATACCTATTATGCCATACTGGTATCATAACACATATATGAATGTTGAAGTATGAGTGGTATAGTAGTGATCTTAGTATATGTACATGTAGGTGTGGTGTATGCACACTATATATATTTATAGTACACTACATTACACGCATCGTATATTCACAGCTACACACACCAAATTCGGAGTACATGTATTATATATATGTTCGTTGTAATAGTATTTATTATATTATTATTATTAGTATATATATATTATATATTATATTATTTATATATGTATTATTATATTATATTATTACTATATATATATATGCATATTAATATATTTATATTTATATTTTTTATATTATTTATATATATATTATATTTATATATGTTATTATATTATATTTTATTATTTATAATTTTATAGTATATATATATATTGGGTTTTTTATATATTAGGTGGATACTGTACGTATATGAGCGATATTATATATGATATATATTTTATATATTATTTATATTTAGGTTGGTTATATATATATATATATACTATTTTGTATGTAGTTATATATATGTAGTTATATGGGTATATATTAGTGGTGTATACGATATATAGTATAGTATGTTATAGCTAGTTATATTATAATAATATGAGTATATAGTATTATAGTGTGTATTATATTATAGTATATATATATTTATACTAGGTATAGTTATTATGTATATATTATATTATATATATATTATATAGTATATGTAGTAGTATATATATATTAATTATGGTGATTATATATATTAGTATTATATAGTATATATGATATTAGTATATTATATATATATATATTATATATATATGTACATATAGATGTGATGTGAGATATGATGTACATAATATAGTAATATACTTACAACACAAACACACGCATACACGCATGGTCATATTCTATATCTATATCTATCTATCGTAGGTCTATCTTATCTATCTAGTCTACTTATTTATATATATGATGCTGTGTGGGGGTGTGTGTTGTGTGTGTGTTGTGTGTGTGTGTGTGTGTGTGTGTGGTGTGTGTTACTGTGTGTTGTGTGTGTGAGTTTATATATTAATTATAATATATATGATACTATATTATATATATATAGTATATATATATATATATATCACATATTGTGAATGTATGTATGAATGTATGCATACACCACACACACACACTACTACACACACACCACACACAACACATCTACACTCGTACACACACACTTATACACACACACACACACACTCTACACACGCACGCCACGTACTGCACGACGCACACACGACATTACATAACACACATCATCACCATAACACCCACAAACACACACACTCACACTTACACACATCACGCTATGCATACACATACCACAATACCGCACATACCACCACACACGGTATATGTTTGTGTGTGTGTTGTGTTACATTGTTTTTTTTTTCTTTTTGTGTGTGGTGTGTGTGTGTGTGGTGTTGTGTGGTGTGTGTATTTTTTTTTGTTTTTTTTTTTTTTTTTTTTGTGTTGTGTGTGTGTGTGATAAGTGTGGGTGTGTGTTTGTGTGTGTTGTGGGGTTTTGTGTTGTGAGTATACTTATAAGTGGCAACGGGAAATATAATGAGATTATATTTGTTATACTGTGAGTTAGACTTATATATGCAGTGGGGTATGGTGTATATGTGGAGTAGTATACATTACCCTGTAGTGGAGTACGATACCACACACACACACACACACGACACAGCACACCAGGCACACGGGCACACAACAACACAGCACTCAACACACACACACACACTATCTTTCACACTATCACTGTCACGCAACACACACATCACACTACACACACTATCACACTACGACACAGGCATATTCATTTAGTATATATTTATATTGATATCTTATAGGGTTATTATTATTATGTGTTGTAGTTATTATATATTATATTATTATATATATACATATATATATATTATATATATATAACTATTATATTATATATATATACGTATATTTATTATATATATATTATTATTATATTTATATATATATTATAATATATATAGTTACTTAATTATTATTTTTATATTATTATATAATTTTATATTTTATTATATTATGTTATATACATATTTATCATTTATTTATACTATATTTATCATAAATGGTGTTAGTATGTATATAATGGGTGGGTGGTATTAATTTTATTTATTAGTATATATAGTATATTTAGGTACTTTAGTATTATATTATATAGTAGTATATGTACAGTATTATATTTGTGTGTATTGTATAGTGTGGATATAGTGTTATATAGTATATCAGGTAATATATTTTTCTAATATTAGTACTATGAGGTATAGTTACTATAGTAGGGTATAATATACATATGCATTCAGATCATACAATACGGTGATTAAGGAGCAGCGATTAAATGGTATGGGTAATACGGCAGTATAGTGATGTGGGTAGTGATATGTAGTAGTGATAAGGTTATATAGTAGGTGAGGAATATTGTTAGGTATATATTATATATATATATATATAAATAAGTAAATTAAATTATGAGTATTGTGATGATGAGTGGGGGGATAGTGTAGTATGATATAGTAGTGAGTAGTATAGTATGGTATAGTGAGGGTAGTGAGCATGGAGTAGTAGTGATATAGTAGGTATATATATATTACATAATGATATGCATACACACATACATATGAAACAGCATAGATGTATGGGTATACCGATGGAATTATATATATAGGTTATCTATTAATATGTATTGTATATATATTGAGGTATATAGGTAGTAGTTATATATGATTATATATATTATATATATATATTATATATAGATAGTGGTGATATAGTATATTTTGTTAGTGATTTATACTATATTATATAGTATATATATATGTGATGTATTTATTTTATAGGTATTATTATATGATTATATTATACTATTTGACTATATTTATATTTATGTATTATGTTTTTGTATATTTGATATTTATTATTATGATAGTGTGATAGCATATGCTTGTATACATACAATTACATTATAAACACATAATGTATGTTATCCATATATATTTATATATGTATGTATATATATATATATATATATATATATATATATAATATATATATATATATATTATATATATATATATATATATATATACTATACAATACATACACATACATATAACACATAATGTATGTATACCATATATATTTATATATGTATATATATATATATATATATATATATATATATATA